AGATATGGGCGATTTTATGATGCACGAATTTTTATTTAAGTTTGTGTAAGGGATTTACGGAAAGAGTTTTTTTTTTACTCAATATATATATATGAATAAGCTTTAAAATAATTTATAGTCTAATTAAAGATATACTGCATACTTTGCATAAGCTATTAAAATATTACATGAAGTATATTTAAAAGTATAAGCAAAGTATCTAATAGTATAAAAATTATACAAAAAAAGTTTAAGTATGAAACTTTCTTTGCATAACATTTTTCTCTGCTTGAAGGATGAGCTCCGCTTGAATCCTGATATCTGCAAAAACTTCCAATTATGTCATGTGCTTCTTATTTGTTCAAAATTATCAAGACTGACTCTTTATAATTTATTTTTGATATTTTTCGCAGAATCGTTCGTGTTGGTTACTATTTTGGTTTGTAGGCCTTGATTTCTGGTTATCGCAATTTATTCTGTAAATTTGAAGTTTTATATAGGTTCTATATTTGCAGTTCTTTAGGTGCTATAAATGCCCCACTTCCTGCACCTACTCGTCATAGCTATCCCTAATTTACTATGTCCATTTGTTTTTTTTTGATCAATTAATTGTACTTTTGAGTATTCTTTTTTTTTTTTTTTTTTTTTTAAACATTTCATATAATTATATGATCCCAATTCAAGATAATTGCTCATACATAGAAAATTCCAATTATATTCAGCAGTTAAGTAATTGTGATTCTGTTTTATTTCATTGAAATTTGAATTAATGTGAACAGTACTAATAAAAGTTTTTTTTTCATTTATTCAACTGTTCTTTTAATATCTTCTTCTGAATTTCTCCTCTGGGATCAAATACAAATCTAGCTCAGGCCGAAAAAGTTGAAATATATCGGTAAATCATTTTGGCGAACTGGGATCTATATATATATAGATAAAACTTCTTTTGCTTTTCATTATACTAATCTAGTTCAATTCAATCCTCAGGTTTTCTTCAGAATCAAAGGCCAAATTAACAAGATCATATGCTAGTATCGTTATTATAGCGATTTTTGTCAAACTGATTTGAAATAGCATCTTCTTTTTAGATTTGTTTTTAGTATATTTCAGATACTACTTGATTCTTCTTCTATTATTGCTGCCACCACCAACTAACATTTTTTGATTATCTTTTTCTAGTTCACTATTCGTTCTATCAAGACCTCTTCTCTTTTGATCACAATACCTACCTGGATCAAAATATTTATCAGATTTACTATTTACAGCTCTTGCACTATACTATCTATATAATTTAACTTCTTGATTATCTATTGTTATCCTGCTAAATATAATATCTACGAGGCTTTTATTGCTAAAAAGTAAGCCATTACTAATATCTTTATATTTTACTATTTTTGTATTACTATCTTGCTTATTAGTATATTTCTGTAAATCTAGTGGACTCATGATACATGTAACTTTATCTATTTAGATACTATACATTTTCTGAAGATCATTATCGTTTAACTTATATCTCTGATTAACTTTTGCATCCTGATTTAGTACATTACACGATGCTATATTATTTTTTTGATTCTTATGTTCGCTTGTATTAATTTGAGCTTTAAACAATTTGATTTTTATCTTCCATATTGTACATGAAGCTTCAAGAGTTCTACTGATATTTAATTTAATAGTCGAATTCTTAGTATCGTTTATAAAACATACCACCTTATCGTTCTCATGTCTTTGTTTTACAATATAGTTAACCCAGTTGTGTTCTTTATTCATACACCATACAACACCGTATTGTTCGTTTAAATTGCTATTGCCAAAGTGGTTTGTATATAATGCATATCTATTTGCATTATTCTGTCTTAATTTTGCTGATCTATTTAAATCGGCAAGTAATTCTTCATATGTATTTGTATTAAATGACTTATATTCCTTTTTCGAAGTTTTATCATTGAGTATTTTATTTGTAGATTTAATTTTTAAAGCCAGCTTGTTGCTTGATAAAGATAAGTTTTTCTCTTTGTTATTATTTGTTTAAATTACTTTATCACTACCTTTATTAACCTCTTCATCTATTTCTTTGCTTTTATTTACTTTTATTACGATTTTGCCCTTTGTATCTATACAAACTGCATTATTTTGATCATTACTTTTGACACTTTTACCTACATACTTTTCAATTCTCTTTATCATATTTTTTGACTTTTCTTCTAATCCCTCATTATTATCTTCTACTTTATTTTCTACTAACAATTTTCTACTTTTGATGTATTTCATACTTTTCTCGAATGCTTTATAATTATCTTTAACTTCAATTCTATTGTCATAACAATATCCAAAATCATTTGTACTGTCAATATTTTTTTCAGGTCTTTCATCATCGATTTTATTTGATACAAAATCCTCAAAAACCAAATATTTGTTCAAGCTTTAGTTTTAACAAATCCTGGGTTGCCACTTTTATAGGAATCAGAATTCTGTTTGAGTGTTTTATGATCGTCTCTTTCAATTCTGATACTATTTTTATAGCAGGTTACAGAAGTTTATTGTTCTTTTCAATTATTATCAATAGACCTAAAACTTAATTCAGGTGATTCATATTTATTTTTACTGAATTCATAATAACAATCAGATGATCTATACTTTTTCTATTTATCATTAGAATTCATAAATTCTTTTATCAGCTCTTTTTTATTACTATATCTATTACTGCTTGTTTCATGGGTAATTTTATCAATTTCAAATAATATGTCAGGTAAACATTCAACCTTCTTTTAGCAGCTTCGACTCAATTTACCAAAATCTATACAACTATCTACATTATTTTTAATAGCATTATTAATACAACCTGGTTTTGCCAACTTTTGATAATAACTAGATGCCTTATGTTTATCTATTTCTGTTTCAATTCCAACTAGATCATTTAACTCCAAAACTAACTAAAGCTTGACTTTGAGGATGATCGATTGAGTTTTTTCTGGCCGATAACTATTGTTATTATTACCTTTTACTGTTAAAATGATTTCTTGTAATAATGTAGCTATTTGCTCTATTGGGTCTCTTGTTGTACAAGATACAGAGTAAGTAATCCAGGGTGTTTGTATAGGAGTTACAGTATTCATTATGGTCTGATAAGCCATGATAGATTCTTATATGAATGTTATTTCACATCTTTAGGCTTGTTCACTAGCTTCATACAGTAAATTAAACTTAAAGGGTCTAATTGCTAATGTTAATTCAGGACGGAGACCTTGTACAAATATTTGAATCTTTATTCTTTCTGAATACTGCCTTGTAATAGCCATACATTTTAACAGAGACATCATATCTATAACATATTGCTCTACCATTTCTTCAGAATGATGATGACGATTTAACAGTTCTGTATTCCACTGCTTAATTAGAGCTGATGTGCAAAATATTTGCCGAAACTAATGCATGAAGCTTTGATCTTTTTTTATTTCATTGTCCCAGTATTGTATTCTAGATTTTTCCTTTGTTCACTACAATGCAGCAGAACTAGATAAATAGACATTTCTAACTATAAACTTTCTTGTCTCTTGGATATTGTTTGCTTCTAATACAGTTAGATCTCCCTAAGTGCACCCTCTCGGGACCATAGGAAAAAAATTGAAAAGAGTGCATTCAAGAGGGTGTGCATTTATAGAGAGCAAATTATATAGGGTTCTTATAAGCTGGGACCAGACTATACCGTGCATTTAGAGAGAATTTACTTAATCAGTGCACTTAGGGAAGTGCACTTAGAGAGGTCTGACTGTACTTGTTTAATCAACCTTAACTATTTGACAGGGTTTTGATTTTTACTATTAAATATTGGAACTTCTGCCAAGTCTATTTCGCCAAGTACTACTTGAGGTTTTTTGAATTATACTAATGTATTTGCTATGGTCTGGAGTAATCGTTGGAGCTAATAGTTCAGGTTTAGTAGAGGAGCTTGCTGAGCATTTTCTAAATAAGGGTTATAGTTTTATATTTTATATTCTTGTCAATACTTGATATGTTCATTTATTCATTTAATTTGGTAATTCACTTGTCCGTTTACTTCTTTATTTTTATCTACTAATACTTTATTCCAAGTTTTTGTCATTTATCCACTTGTTACTTTGTTCGATATTTTGTTTGTAACTTCCTTATTATTATCATTAATATATCTACTTATCAATTCATTCGTTATGTTGTTTAATTATTTTCTTTATCGTTCGTTACTAAGATATTTTTTGATTCTTTATCATCTTTGTAACTTTAATTCAACACAGAACAGATCTAGGTTTTGTTTAATTATTCAAATTTTTTGGTTTTATTTCTGACTTATCAAAATGCTAATTTGAGTCATGTTCACTAATTCAATTATTATTATATTTTTAATACAAGCTGATCTTCGGCTTTTGCTCAAATTAATATCAAAATTTTAACACCAAACGATCTTCGTTCTAATTTTCTTTTCATTTATTATTAAAAATTTTCTATACTAATCGACTTTTATTTCTTTTTAGTTTTTGAAATTTATACAATCAGTATCATAAATATTATAATCAAGAGAGAGTCTTATATCTATTTGGCCAATTTAGCAAAGAGTTGTAATCATTAACAAAGGATAAAACAAATATTTTATAAACACACAAAGGCACCAAAACGTAGTAACTAATATATCTTTCAAGTATTCTAGACACTTATAATACTAATAACTTTATTTTGCTACGATTTAGCAAGTTTCAAACTTACTAGCTTTCAACTCAAACTACTAAATAACTCAATGAACAACTAAAGAAAAACTATCTCTGAAAATCTAAAGACTCTAAACTAAAATATATATAACTCAATATATATACATGAATAAGCTTTAAAATAATTTATAGTCTAATTAAAGATATGCTATATACTTCGTATAAGCTATTAAAATGTTATACGAAGTATATTTAAAAGTATAAGCAATGTATCTAATAGTATAAAAGTTATACAAAGAAAGTTTAAGTGTAAAACTTTTTTGTGTAATATCACTGCTAACAATATCAGAATTAAAAATAAGAAGACTGGATTTATATAAAACAGATAAATGCATAATATGCTATACAGAATCTAAAATAATAAATCACCTAGCAAGCTATAAAAGATTCTAAAAGATCTAAAATATAATAGAAAAAGAGATTACTAAAGACACAGCCAAAATACTCAAGAAAGAAAATAATATAGGTCTAGACCTAGAAGAAAATGAAGTCAAAAGAAGTATATTTGGTACAGAAGATCTGAAAAAAATAGAGACAAAAAACTATATAATAAGGGTCTAATACAAGACAAAAGAAAAACAAGCATCAAGAGCCTAGCACAAGAGAAGAACACAGCAAAAAAGATAATAAACAAGATACTAAATAAGTTTGAAGAAAGATTCCATCAACATATATAGAACCTTAGATATAAAATACAAAATGAATAGGAAAAGGAAAAAGAAATTTCAAAAAAAGACAAAAGAACCAAAAAGAAAAAAGAAGCCACATAGACAAGAAAAATATTCTAGACCCAAAAGGGAAAAGAAAAG